GTTCGATACCCTCCTCAACAAGATGGAGTTGCAGAACAGAAGAATCGAACAATTGTGGAGATGGCACGAAGCATGCTAAAAGGTAAAGGTCTTCTTAATAAATTTTGGACTGAAGTTGTCAACACTGCAGTTTATACTCTGAACCAATCTCTCACGAAGGCTAAGCAAACCAAAACACCATACGAGTAAGGGTGTAAATCTGGCTCGTAAGCCAGCAACCCGGGTGGGCCCGACCCCGTTAGGCCCAGGCAAGGCCGGGCCGAGCCTAACCTAAGACCTTAGGCCTAGGCCTGGATTGTGTGTTCTAGAGCCTGATTCGCCTGGCCCAACCCATCAACTTGAGGCCCAATGTCATTTTTTATTGAAAAAAAATAAAATTTTGGCAGGAAAAAATTAAAAAAAAATTGTTAAGCCCGACCTAAGCCCAAGCCCAAGCCCAGACCTAGGCTTGCTAGCCCGACCCGATGCCCAATCTGTCAAAGGCCCGAATACCCCATGGGCCTAGGCCTAACTTTTGATCCTATGGACCAGTCCAACTTGAAAAATGGAGGGAGCTCACGAGGCCCAAATGAGAGATAGGTCGGCCCAACCTAGGCCCGGGTGGGCTAGGTCAGCTCCAAATTACACCCCTACATATAAGGCATGGCACAAACGAATTGTCTTCCTTATGTCTTAATTGCTTCCCAAAAAAGGAAAAAATTTGACGAGAAATGGAAAAAAAAATATATTCATTGGATATAGCGACGACTTAAAAAGATATCGTCTGTTCAGTCCAATGAAAAATGAATTAGTAATCTCTAGAGATGACATATTTGATGAAATGACAGCATGGAAGTGGGATGACAACTCCATCCTAGGCCTCGTTTGGGAAGTGGCTATTTTAGTAGGCTATTTGGCTTTTTGGCTATTTTAGTGGCTATTTTAGTTTTTGTGTTTGGGAAGATGAGATGATTTTTTAGTTGAGTTATTGTATTGAAAAGTGTGTTGAAATGATGTTTAAATTTAAAATGACAGATTTATCCCTAACTTTTTATTTTTTAAAATTGATATAAAGGGGCAAAATGGTAATTTCGCCCTTGGGGGCAACACTATTCGGCTGTGACAGTGTAGGCTGTGCCTACACTGTCCAACAGCAGCCTATTTTCTTTTTTTTTTTTTTTTTTTTTGAAAATCCATGCACAGTGTTGCTTTTGGGCTAAAAAATCAAATGAGGCTATAATAGCCTAATTCTCGGAATCCCAAACAGCGCCCTAGAGTAGAAGGAGTTTGAATTTAATGAAGCAACGGAAGGAAAATGATCTTCAACTTTCAAAGAAAGCCCAAACCAAAGCCCACATAACAGTCCAAGCCCAAGGTCAGGAAATGACTCTCCAGGAAGCTCTTCATCTGAAGAAGCTGAAATGATACCAAGAAAGGTATGTTCCTTAAGAAAAATATATGAAACTTGTGATGTAGCATTTCTTGCTTGTGAGCCATAGATTTTCGAAGAAACTGTGAAAGAAGAAATTTAGAGAAAGCCAATGGATGAAGAAATTGCAACTATTGAAAAAAATTACACTTGGGATCTTGTTAATCTATCTAAAGACAAAGATGTGATCAGACTTAAATGGGTCTACAAGACCAAATATAAAGAAGATGGCTCAATCCAGAAGCACAAGGCTCGCTTAGTTGCAAAAAGCTACCCACAGCAACTTATAGTGGACTTTAATGAAACATTTGCTTCAATTGCTCGCATGGAGACAATAAGACCCATTCTTGTCTTGGCTGCACAAAACGAGCTACTTGGATGTCAAATAAGCTTTTCTCAATGGAGAGCTTGAAGAAGAAGTTTATGTTGAACAACCGCAAGGGTATGTAATCAAAGGTAAAGATGACAAGGTTTACAAACTTCGGAAGACATTGTATGGCTTGAAGCAAGCACCTTAAGCCTAGAACAACAACATTGACAAGTATTTTTGTCAAAATGGTTTTCAAATAAGCCAAAGTGAGCTATCACTATACATCAAGAAAAGAGGTACGCAAGACTTTATCATAATTTGCCTATATGTTGATGATTTAATCTATATAGGTACTAAACCATCAATGGTAGAAGAATTTAAAAGAGCCATAATGAAGGAGTACCAGATGACTGGTTTCAGACATACAAGATATTTTCTCGGTATTCAAGTGAAGCAGTCAAAGGGAGTGACATCGGTGGGCCCACAAAAGGTTTTGGCCCACAACTTAGAGCCCAATTCACGGTTCAAGCCACCAAAGCCCAACACCCTTGAGAACCCAATGTTAAACCAGGAACCAATGGCATCTAAACACTTGTCAAGCAAGGAACCAGCCACGTAAGCAGACAAAGATCCTGTAAAGTTATTACACCACACATCAGCCAGCATTAAATGCGATAACCCCTTTACGTCGGAATATGCAGCCTCACCGTGAACAATGCAAGCTAGAGTATAGACTTTCGGCCAACACGACAGGTTGGAGTGGACAAAGGATATAAGGAGGTTTCCAAGACACATCAAAGGTTAAGTTCATCCTTCTTCTTCTTCTTCTTCTTCTCTCTCTCTCTCTCTCTCTCTCTCTCTCTATACACAGTCAATCTCCTCTATCCTAACTTGATCGTCGGAAGGTCCGCTCAGGGACTTCCATTCCTCGTTGGACCTTTTTGCAGGCACCACCAGCGAGCCTCGAATCCAGTAAAAGTGTTGGAAGCGTGAGTCAACCCGACTCGCCCTCCCTTGGATCAGTAGCATCATCAGTTGGTGCCGTCTGTGTGAACTGTCACTCGGGTTAACAGTTGTGCTCATTGTTGTCGGAGACCCATTCTCGATAATTTCTCATTACCTTCCATCGAGGTGGATGGTTACAACGAGATCCATGGCTTCTCAACACAATGTCGTCGACCCCCAATCTGATCCTCCCAACCCAAACAACCCACCTCAGTACTTCACAGAGCTCACCAACAGCATCAACCGCTTGGCCGAACGAAACCAGGCCTTGATCAACACTATACTCCAGCGAAATCTCCCTATGCCTCCTCTCCTACCACAAGATATCCCTCACAATCGAGAACAAACCCCGAACCATCCTTTCCAACGAGCCCACCTTTCCAATCTAGAGGGTCTACAAGCCCCACCTCAAGACATGAACCCACCATCTCGGGGCTTACATCTATCAATTCAAGCACCTGCCCCTGAAGGAGAGGCTAGTAGTGTTCAGTCCCCACTGCACTCTAGAGGGGATAATGTTCCTATTTGCGATGTAGAACTCCGAGCCATGAAACTCCAGCTTTAGAGAGTCATGAAGAACATACAAAATAAACCCTCCACAACAGGCAACTCCCCATTTGTCACCTCCATCAGGGACAAACCCCTACCCCCCAAGTTCAAAATGCCCTCGATCGACACCTTCGACGGCACAACTGATCCGGTCGACCATTTGGAGACCTACAAGACCCTCATGATCCTCCATACTTTCCCTGATGAGATCATGTGTCGAGCTTCCCCCGTGACGCTTAAAGGGTCAGCTCGACTATGGTTTAGTCAGCTACCGCTAGACTCTGTCTCTACTTTCTAACATTTAAGTGATTCTTTCCTGAGCCATTTCATTGGTGCTCAGCGCCAACGACGTCTAGCAACTCAACTGCTTAATATTCGGCAGACGGAAGGGGAGTCACTACGCAGCTTTGTCACCCATTTCAACACTGAGGCCCTACAGGTGGCGAAAAATGATGACAAGGTCATCCTCACAGCTTTCATGGCCGATTTACGACCATCTGATTTCCTTTTCTCCCTTTCTAAAAACCCTCCGACCGTCATAGCCACCCTTCTTTCCAAAGCCCAAAAATATATGAATGTCGAAGACTCTTTGGCAGCCCGCCAAGATTCCACACCTAAAAATCCATCCTCTAAGGACAAAAGAAAAGAACCCGAACCCAGATCCTCCCAATATACACATAAACCCCCTTAATATACTGACCAACTTGCTCGAGCCGTTCGACCGACACCTACCCGACCACCCGGTCGGTTCGAACGATACTCCCCTCTCAATTCCTCCATGGAACAAGTCTTGAACCAAATTCAATGAGATTACAACCTGAAATGGCTTCAACCATCACGATCTCCCTCCAACCGGCGAGATCAATCCAAGTACTGCCGTTTCCATCAAGACCACGGCCACAACACTGAAGAATGTGTTAACCTTAAAGACCAGGTAGAGGATTTGATACGCTAGGGGCACCTCAGTCGGTTCACGGAAGCCCATCCCCAGCAACGACAGAGGATCGACCCGTCGGGGGGCCACCACCGACATACCCCCCGACAACCCGCACAACCTAAGCAAGACAATGATCGGTTCCTATCACAACCCTGGGCACAAGGCAATCCTGTCTCCCCTCCCCCTCCCCCTCCGTCAGCGAGATCAGAGTCATCGCTGTCGGGCTCGCATGAGGAGGGCCATCTCGATCTGCCCAAAGAGCCGAACTCAGAAAAATAAGACAAGGCTCTGATAAGGAAGTAACGACATTGGACCGCCCCTTCAAACACTCCAAGCAATGGTCTGAACCTATCACCGTTACAGAGGTCGGCTGCACAGGCATCCGTTACCCCCACAACGACCTCCTCATTATCTCCGCTCTCCTATCCAACTACAAAGTTAGATGGGTCTTTGTCGACAATGGCAGCTCTTCAGACATCATCTTCCTGAACGCTTATCGCCAACTCAAGGTTGGAGAAGAAAAGTTGTCCCCTCTCCAAACGCCGTTAGTCGGTTTCACCGGCGATCGGGTGACCTCCATAGGCTCCATCAATCTTTCCATTACCATCATAAAACATCCACGGCAGACCACCAAGCAACTCACTTTCCTCGTCGTCGACTGTCCTTCTGCTTATAACATCATCCTTGGACGCACGGCTCTCAACGCCTTCCAAGTTATTACCTCTACATACCATCTAGCCATGAAATTCTTGACCGACCTCAGGGTTGGCACAGTGAGGGGCGAGCAGACGATGGCCAGAGAGTGCTACGTCACCTCGCTAAATGAGGTCAAAATGAAAGAGGCTATGATCATCAAGGGTCTCGACGTCAGAGACGAGGAGGAGTTAGTCAGAGGGGAACCAGTTGAGGAACTTGTTGAAGTGCCTATCGATCTTTCTGATTCAGCCAAAACAGCTAGGATTTGCAGCCAATTGTCCTCTCAAGCCAAGGCTGATCTCATAGCTCTCTTAGCCGAGCACAGTGATGTCTTCGCTTGGACCCATTCAAACATGCCAGGTATCAATCACTCTTTCATTACTCATCGTCTCAGTATTGAGCCCCACTTCCAACCTTTCCGATAGAGGCAGCGTATTTTTCACCTAAAACGCAATACCCTCATCGCTACCGAGTTGGACAAACTACTAAAGACACAGTTCATTAAAAACGTAGACTACCCCAGGTAGCTATCCAACGTGGTCTTGGTCCGCAAAAATAATGGCAAATGACGACTCTACGTTGACTACTCCGACCTCAATCGGGCTTGCCCCAAAGATAGCTATCCCCTTCCTCGGATAGATCTTTTGGTCGACGCAACTGCGGGACAAAAGATGCTTAGCTTCACAGCTACAATCAAATCCTGATGCACCCGGCCGACCAAGAGCACACCTCCTTCATAACCGGCAGAGGGACTTATCACTATCGTGTTATGTCATTCGACTTGAAGAATGCCGGAGTAACTTACCAACGCCTGGTTAATGCCGTCTTCCAATACCCGATAGGTTGAAACATGGAAGTCTACATCGATGACATGCTAGTCAAGAGTAAACTCTCTTCAGATCACTTGGCAGACCTGCGAGAGACCCTAAACCTTACGCAAATATCAGATGAAGCTGAATCCGGAGAAATGCGCCTTCAGCGTGGGATTTGGGAAGTTCTTGGGCTTCATGGTTAGCCAACGAGGCATTGAGGCTAACCCCAAAAAGATCAAGGCCCTGAGAGAAATACGGTCTCCCAAAACGGTCAAGGAGGTTCAACGACTCACGGGTAGAGTCGCTGCCCTCAACCGCTTTATTTCCCGAGCAACCGACAAGTGTCTTCCATTCTTCAAAGTCCTCCGATAAGCATTCGAATAAAGCGCCGAATCTGAGGAGGCCTTCCAACAACTAAAGCAGTGCATGGCTAACCCTCCCCTCCTCTCTCAAGCACTGCCAAGCGAAACCCTCTTCCTCTACTTAGCTGTGTCAAACACTGCGGTCAGTGCAGCTCTCATTAGGGAAGACGGCTTAGTACAACGTCCAGTCTACTACATTAGCCGCGCTCTTAGGGAGGGTAGAACAGAACTACCCTCTGTTAGAAAAAATGGCCCTCACCTTGGTCATAGCCTCCAGACGCCTCTGACCTTATTTCCAAGCTCACTCCATAGTGGTTCTCATTGACCAGCTTCTGAAAAAGGTCATGTAACAACCAAAATCGTCAGGAAGACTTATGCAATAGTCTGTTGAGCTAAGTCAATTTGAAATCTCTTACCGACCTCGAACAGTGATCACAGGCCAGGCTGTCACCGATTTTATCTTAGAGTTCACCAATCTCACTCCGAACGTACCTCCTCCACAACCACACTTCACCACTGATGAAGAAAACCCCCACTCCTGGACTCTTAGTGTTGATGGTTCATCCTGCAAAGAGGGTAGTGCAGCTGGTCTAATCCTCACCACCCCAAAGGGTGAGTACTTCAAGTGTGCCCTCCGTTTCCTGTTCGATGCAAGCAATAATGAGACCAAGTATGAGGCCTTGATAGCAGGTTTTCGAATGGCCAGAGACATTGGTGTAAACCATATCCAAGTGTTCGGTGATTCCCAATTGATTGTCGGACAAATTATTGGGGAGTTCGACGCAAAGGAGGAAATGATGCGAGCATATAGGGACATCGCCTTTCATCTCGTCCGCTGCTTCAATACTTTCCAGATTAGACACATCCCTAGGTCAGAAAACTCAAAGGCGGACGAAATAGCCCAATTAGCCTCGGCTGACCAGTCAGACTTCAGTCATGGCATCCGCATTGAATACCTGACCCATTCAGCGACTTCGGCAAATCCACAAGAGATTCAGTTCCTCCAAAATGAACCTATCCCATGGGCTCAAGACACCATTCCGTTTTTGACACAAAGGGAGTTACCAGATGATAAACAGTAGGCCACTAAGGTCAGAGTCTGATCGTCTAATTACATCATCATCAACGGTCTACTATACAAACGGGGATTCTCACGCCCATTTCTCAGGTGTCTCAGTCCTGCTCAAGTGACCTATGTGATAAGAGAATTACACGAGGGCATTTGTGGTAATCATTCAGGTGGAAGATCCTTGGCCCATAAAATCCTCCGCATCGGCTACTTCTGGCCCACGTTCAATCAAGATGCTAACGAATTTGTTCTTAAGTGTGATAAATGCCAACGCTTCGCTAACATTCCCCATGCCCCACCAACAGAACTAATTACACTCAGTAGTCTCTACCACTTCGCTAAGTGGGGCATCGACATAGTCGGTCTTTTACCCACTGGTAGGGGCCAAACCATGTTCGTTGTGGTTGTCATTGACTACTTCACCAAATGGGTGGAAGCAAAACCCCTTGCTACAATTACTGAGCGAAACACCACCAGGTTCATCTGGCAGTCAATTGTGTGCCGATTTGGAATCCCTCAAGCCATTGTCTCGGACAACGAAAAACAGTTCGACAATGCCAAGTTCAGGAAGTTCTGTGAAGATCTTAACATTAGACCATGTTTCTCTTCCCTAGGCCATTCCCAAGCCAATGGGTAAGTCGAAATCACCAACCGCTCCCTTCTAAAGATCAGCAAGACTAAGTTGGAAGCCGCCAAAGGACTCTGGGCTGAGGAACTACCAAACGTACTCTGGGCTTATCGGACGACAGTTCAAACCCCCACTGGGGAGACCCCTTTTTGCCTAACATATGGCGTCGAGGCGGTCATCCCAGTGGAAATTGGCCTGCTGACCCCCCTGGTTCTACATCCAAATCCAGAACTGAACGAAGAGCTGCGTCGGGCTAATCTGAACCTAGTTGAAAAGCTTCGAGAGGCAATTGCTGTCAGGCGGGCATCATATCAGCAGCGAATGAGAACAAATTATAACCGCAGGGTCCAACCTCTAGAGTTCACAGTGAGAGACTCATCTTACGCGAAGTAACCCTTGCCACCAAAAATTCGACCGAGGGCAAGCTAGCAGCCAAATGGGAAGGACCTTACGTTGTCAAAGCCAGATCTCGCCCAAGTACTTACTGTCTGCAAGATATGGAAGACAGTGACCTGCTCCGATAAGCATTCGAATAAAGCGAGCATGAAAGAGGTCCAGTAGAACGGCGTCTCCTGCTTTTGTTTCATTCCATTGTTGTATGTTCTGTTTTGCCGATCTGAACACTTGATTGTGCCTTAAGTAGCTCGACTTTTTCGTGCCCCTTTTCGGAAGCTCGAATTGGTCCTGCAGTTCGGACTCCTGTCACGGTTCTAAATCTAGTCTCACAAGTGCAATGTGAAACCAATAAACACCAAAGCGTCCAATCCGGCACATCTTTTTGGAAAATTGATTTAAAATCAAATAATGCCAAAATTGGACTACTTTGCCAGATTACAGAGTCACTACCTAAATATTTTTTTTTTGGAGAAATTTAGGAAACCCTGACTCGTGCCAAAGGCCATGTGCCCGTCATCGCCAAAGTTGCCTTAGCTCGGGAACTTGGGTACGAGGGGGGAAGGTCATGAATTGAGCACCCCCCCCTCACCTGATCAAAGGATCGGCCTCCACTAATCATGATATGTTCTTTTATAAATCTTATGTGTTCTTTTTCTGATTATTGGCTAACTTTACTATGTGACGCACACAAGTAAGTATAGACTAGTCGCAAGACTTGGAACAATTTAACTCATGTTTGTTTTTTAAAATGGTTTGAATTTGCCACCCTCAAGTGAGCTTAAAAAATGCGGATTTGCCACTTCAAGTGGACTTAAAACTTACAATCATTAAATTGTTCAAATTCAAACAACGAGCCTTCATCCACAGGCATTCATGCAGTTTAGCAAATAAGCACATAGGCTCATGGCAAGCATGTAAAACATGGCAATATGGCAATCACACTCATGTAGGTATGATAAAGCATAAAATTTACTGAGTACTCCAAGCCAAAACAAAAACTAGTTAGAAAAATGCATGATCCTAAGAATACAAGATGTCTAATGCAACACATGCAATATGATGTAACTAAACAGGCTTGGCTATTTAATCATGGAATTTGCAACTCTTTGATAGCATGCTTTGAAACACGTATTCAAAGAAGTATTGAAATTGCAATGCAGTTTGAATGATGTGCCGAGCCTCGGTGAATGCAAGACAAATGAATGGATGCAAACATGCTAGCATAAGGTATGCTAATTAAAAATGATCCCTAATCTAACCATCAAAAGCGGATAAATAAAAGGGAGAAAGACGTGGGGTTGGAAGACATGCACACACGTACGCATACTTATTACAACATTATGCCCTCGCGAAGGAGGGTCTGAATGAAATAAGCTAACTAGCTACGCTAATTAAGCTAACTATTACAAATCAAAACTAATTAACTATTCTAGCTAATTATTACAACACAATTGAAACTAATTAACTAACTTATTCTAAGCTAATTAATTACAATAAATTGGAATTGAATAACTAGTTACACTAACTAATTAAGTACAATATTCGAGTTAACTAGCTATTCGAAGCTATCTAAAGTGATTAAATGGCCTCGATGGCAAGGGACGTATGCATGCTCGGTTGCACCACCCAAAAATGCCACTGCCTTGCCATCGGATGCCTCTGTTTGCACTCGTGTGATCACCGAAAATTGTACCAACTCCCAGAATGCCTCTGCTCCAACTCAGGAGCACACTTGTACAAAAATTCATTGGTGGCCAGTCGGCTACAAAAAGTGGTCGTCGGCTACTATAACTGGCCGGTCAGCCACCTCGTCCCTGGCCTTCTTCTTTTGCTGCAACAGAGAGCAAACAAAGGCAAAACAATGTATTTTCAAGGAATGTGTGTACTGTTGCCCTCCTTATCATCACACAAACTTAAAGGAGGGTAACTCTTGGCTCTCAAGCCATCAAACAAGCATTTTCAATGCATGATGGCTAGAGAACCAAGCTTGTACAAGTTTAATGAATGCACAAACAAGACCAAAACAACCACCACCCTATCATGCATGATCAAGGGTGACGGTGACCAAGAAAAGTGGCACGTTTCATCACTTTGAGTATGAAACGTCCCAATTTTCTCGTGTTCGGATTAATGTCTGATCCGAACACATGCAATGCAACATGAAAATGTTTAATCTTGCCGCTTTTACTTTGTTCATTTTTGTTTACACATTTTAGATTACCAATCCATTCTTTAATTGATTAGTCCAAAAGTGAATGTCCTCTAATTGAAAGTAGGCTTAAACCACAAGTACCTTGAGCATGAAAGAGGCCTCATGCTGTTGGTAATGAACTCCCGAAGGAATTAAACCATTAAGCATGAGGGTCTCAATTCCACACTCATGCCAACAAGGGGCTTAAAGCCACTTTCAAAACAAATGAAAGAGTGAAGAATAGAGGGAGATTGCAGAGATTTCAGTGCTGAAATGGAGTGCAAAAAGACACTAAAACATGCAATCAACTCATGCAATTCATGCTAAAAAGCCTAAAACATTAAGCAAGTGAAGGAGATTGCACTACAACCACACAATACAAGCCTCAAAGGACCAAACCCGCTCAAACAAAGCTAAGACCAGTCAAAACAATGAAAAACATGCTGAGATTAAGGTACAATATGCTAGAAAAGTGTGCTCACATGTTAGCTTGCAAACAAGACTCTAGAGAAAATCTCAAAAGCAATGAAAGAGTGAAACAAATGAGCATGTGACAGAGCTATATACATTGAAATTACATGTAAAAAGACACCACAACATGTAACCCTCTCAAGCAAATCATGTTTGACGGCCTAAAACACCAACTAGTGAAGCTATTTGCACTATAACTATGCAAAACAAGACTCATATGACCAAAGAAGCCCAAAACAGAGCTAAATCATTCCAAATCAGAGGCAAACATATGCTGGAAATAAGCTAAGTTAGGCTACAAAAACATGCTACCATGTGAAGCTAACTAGGCATGCAAGTGAGACACAAGGAGGGGAGGCTAACCCCTCATATTTTGGACTTCAAAACATGTTTTCCACCACTGAAATGACTCTGAATTTCAGTGGTTAAAAGACAAAAAAGTGTTGTTTTGAAAGTGATGAAAACATGGCACAAAAGCTTAACAAGCAAAGAGACAAAAAGGGTGGACCATTCCCTAACTCAAAATAGGCTCAAACCACCATTTTTAAGACTGAAAAACAGAGGTTTTCACAGTTGAAAACTAGGCCAAAAATAGTACAAAAAGATGGTGAAACAAGTTATGCAAAATAAGTTTAAAAGGTGAGTCTTACACCTCTTGAAGCACAACACACTTTAGGCACAAATGAGGCACCAAATCAAGCTAAAATCACCTTCTAAAGTTCAAATAAGGTCCCAAAGAATCTCAGCCCAAAGATAAGCAACTTTGGTTAAGTGTTGATTAGAAAACTAGAAGTGTATCTCTACTTGTATGCACAAAAGGGCAAGAGAGAGAAATCTAGAGAGAGAGGATTTTTAGAGAGAGAGGCCCCCAAAATTTTTCCAACCTTGCAATATAAGAGATATGGCCTCTATATATAGAAAAAAGAGAGCCTTGGTTGAAAATATCAATTCAGAAATATCTAGAGCAGTGTGGAACAGCTGGAGGGAAAATATCTGCAAAATATCTGAGTTTTGGACACCAGTGGCCAATGGGCCACATTTGTGGCCGACAGCAAAAATCTGCTCTTCATGTCCAACTTCAAATGGGCATATCTCCTTCATCTGGACTCATTTATAGGTCATTCTTATGCCTAAAATGAAACCCCGGAAGTCTTCTTTCCAATGATGGCAGTCGCACATCAAAATTCCAATTGTGAAAAAAGGTATGCCTCTTTTAGTGAAGATGGCTCATTTTCGGTCCTAACCGGATTGATGCTCAACTTCAACCAACCATATCTCCCTCATCCGAACTCAGATTTAGAAGATTCTTGAGTGCAAAATAAAGCCCCGGAAGTCCACTTTCCAACGGTGGTGGCCTCATAGTTGAAATCCAAGTGTACAAATGGATAAGTCCGATTTAGCGAGGGCTGCTCGACTCTCTCTTAACTATTCATGCCCAATTTCTTCCCCAACTAGGTTTCTTCTCTCTCCTCCAATTTTCTTCAACTCCAAACCCATAAACAAGATGTTTTGAAAGATTTTTTTGAAGCATTCACCTATATTTCATGCATTTCCACTTTGTCCTTGCTCGATTTACCGAAAAGCGCAACATTTAACTAAATGCAAGCATCGGAACATTGTAGAAACATTTTCAAAAATATTTTGAAAGAGAGGGTTTTAAGGTCTAAAATAATTTTGGTCCAAAAATGGGGTGTAAGGTTGGGATTCGAAGCTCCTCTTGCCGAAGAAATTGAACATTTGCATAGCATAGCCTGCACCATCGAATGATCAATCAGTGGTGCCCAAGTCTTAAGGGCGGTCAAAAATGGGGTGTATATACTTAATGACAATAATTTCACATCTCCATTATCTGTGTTGTGCATCAATGACAAGTTTTAGGCCTGGTCTCAGTCCGACTGAGATCTCCAAGTCTCAGCCAGACTGAGCATGAAGAGCTCAGCCGGACTGAGAT